TGGTGATCACAGAAAAAGAAGTGCCAGATCTATTACACAGACAAAAGCCAGGAAAAGCACCAGGACCAGACAAGATAACTCCTCCTTGCTTAAAAGTCTATGCTGACCAATTGGCCCCCATCTTCACCCAAATCTTCAATAAATCACTAGAGATGTGTAATGTTCCTTCTTGCTTCAAACGCTCTACAATCATCCCAGTGCCAAAGAAGCCCTCCATCAAGGAACGGAATGACTACAGACCAGTTGCTGTAACATCTGTAGTTATGAAAACCTTTGAAAGGCTAGTGCTGTCCCACCTGAAAGCCATCACGAATCCACTATTAGATCCCATGCAGTTTGCATAACAAGCAAATAGATCGACAGGTGATGCTGTTAATATGGTTCTGCACTACATCCTACAACACGCTTTGAAACAGCACAGCAATTCAGGGCTGGGAGGTACCTCTGAGGTCATCTAGTTCAACCCCCTGCTCCAAGAGCATTGTTAAGGTGAGTTTCTCTCTTTTGACCCACCCAGTCACACAGCCACATATCCACGACCACCAAGCCACCCCCACCCAGACACACGACCACAGCCACGGCCACCCAGTCACATGATCACCAAGCCACTCCCACAGAACTATTTGTTAAAAAATTTGAATCCCACCCAGAGGTGGTATTCAACCGGTTTGCACCGGCTCACACAAACTGGTAGCGGTGATTTGGCATGGGTCGCCAAACTGACCGCTGACTCAGTCACCTAGTCGCTCACTTGCCCCAGTCACTCTCCTAGCTTTCCTTACCATGTGGCAGCCGCGGCGCAGCTCGGGCGGATGTCCTGTGGCTGCTGCACATGTGTGCGTGTGCAGATGCTATACATGCAGTGTGCATGTGCAGCGGCCCCAGGACATCTGCTCTCCCGGAGCATGCTTTCTTCCTTCTCCCAGCGGATATGCCTCTTCCAGCCCAGCTCAGCCTGACCAGCCAGTAGGTGGCCACATGTCCAGCCACCCCTTTCTCAGCGCAAGAAGCCTCTCCCAACTGGATGGCTGTTCCCCTCCTTCTCTGCCTGTTTGTTCTGTATGGCCGAGGAGGAGAGCAGTTGGCTGGTTGGGGCAGGCTTCTTGTGCTGCGAAAGAGGTGGCTGGAGACCAAAAAAGAGTTGCCTCCAGCCGCCTCTTTTGCAGCGCAAGAAGCCTGCCCCAATTGGCCAATTGCTCTCTTCCTCCTTGGCCATACAGAACAAACAGACAGAGAAGGAGGGGAGCAGCTGGTCCGTTGCGCTGAAAAAGGGGCGGCTGGAGGCGACTCTTCTTCGGTCTCCAGCTGCCTCTTTCGAAGGCTGCACCACTCTGCTCGGACTTGCTTGGGCAAGTCTCTCCAATGCAGCAGGCTCAATGGTTTGGACCTGCGTGGCTGGAACCTAGAACGCGGCGGCGGTGACACGGAGAAGTGGAGCAAAGCCGCTGCAAAGCCTATAGCCGCCACATGGTCTTTTTGGTGTGGGAGGAAGGAAGGTAAGGTTTCAGGCAGTCGGGAAAGCTGCCTAGCCCAGAGCTGCCAGCAGGGGGAGAGGGGCCAGGCTGGAGCACACGCCTCACTTGAATTTCCCAGCCGCAAAAGCAGGAGGGGAGGAAGTCCTGCCTGCGGCCCCTTTGTTAGACCTGGAAGCCTTGCCTGCCGGCTTTTTTGGGTAACGCGAGAAGGAAACAGAGAGAGGGAAAGAGAGAGAAAGAGAGAGGGACACAGAAAAGAATGAAAGAGAAAGAAAAGGGAAAAAGAGAGAAAGGAAGAAAAGGGATAGACAAAGATGGGTTGGATGGAAGGGAAAGAAAGAAAGAAAGAAAGAAAGAAAGAAAGAGAAAAGAAAGAAAGAAAGAAAGAAAGAAAGAAGAAAGAAAGAAAGAAAGAAAGAGAAAGAAAGAAAAAGAAAGAGAAAGAAAGAAAGAAAGAAAAAGAAAGAAAGAAAGAAAGAAAGAGGGAGGAAGGAGAAAGTGAATGAGATATATGAATGGATGGATGGATACATGGAAGGAGGGAGGGAGGGAGAGAGAAAAAAAGGAGAGGAAGGACAGACATAAACCCTGGCTTCAGAAGACTCCTTGAAACAGCACAGCAGTCTAGGACAGGAAGGGATCTAGGAGGTCATCACTTGAATTTCCCAGCCCAAAAGCAGGAGGGGAGGA